TTTGACCAGAAAGGTATTGGTGGAACTTTCTGACTTCAAATATGACTGCCAATCCTTCTTTTAATAACTGGGCACATTTGTGCTCTGCATAAGCCAAAGTCCTGGATGCACAAGCTGTTGGGCATTCCTCTCCAGTGGGCCACCTGTGAGCTAATACTACTCCAATGCCAGACAGGGAGGCATTGCATGTCAATACCAGATCTTTCTTGGGATCATAATGTTCCAACACTTTACAGGATGATAGTTGTTTCTTTACTTCAAATTCTAGCGCCTGTCTAAGAGACCATTTCAAAGTCTGACCTTTTTTATGAGTTGATGCAATGGTGCCAGGAGAGATGCCAAGTTGTGTATGAACTTTCCGTAATAATTTACCAGACCCAGAAATGACGTAAGCTCCTAGATAGACATGGGTGCTGAGCACTTTTGATCACCCTCACTTTGGCATCCAATGGGTGTAACCCGGTCTTGTTCACTGTGAGGCCCAAGCAGGTAACTTGGGGGGCCAGGAAAATACATTTTTCCCCCTTAGCCATATGCCTGCCTTGGAAAATGCCTTCAGACTATAAGCAAGTTATCTAAGCGTTCTAACAGTTTTCTCTGTTGTTATCAGGACATCATCTAAGTAAATGGCAACCTGAGGTACAATTTGCAAAATATTCTCCTTCGTCAGCTGAAAATTGAACAAACTGACAATACCCTGAATGGCAATTTTGTAAATTGGTACAAGCCATTATGGCTATTAATCATAGAATCACAGAGTCATACAGCATGGAAACAGACCCTTTGGTTCAACCAGTCCATGCCGACCATGTTCCCAAATAAACTTGTCCCACCTGCCTGCGCTTAGCCCATATCCCTCCAAATATTTTCTTTCATGGCCTTCTCCAAATATCTTTTAAATGTTGTAACTGTACTTGAATTCACCACTTTCTCCAGCAGTTCATTCCACATACAAACCATTCTGTGTAAAAAAAGGTGGTCCTCATGTCCTTTTTAAATCTTTCTCCTCACACCTTAAAAATATGTCCCCTAGTTTTGACCTCTACCACCCTAGGGAAAAGATCCTTGTCATTCACCTTATCTATGCCCCTCATGATTTTAGTAACCTCAATAAGGTCACCCCTCAACCTCCTATGCTCCAGTGAAAAAAGTCCCAGTCCTTCCAGTCTACTTTTATATCTCAAACCCTCCACTCCTGGCAACATCCTGGTAAATCTTTTCTGAACCCTCTCCAGTTTAATAATATCATTTCTATAACAGGGTGAACAGAACTGCACACAGTACTCCAAAAGAGGCCTCTCCAATATCCTATATAACCTCAACATGACGCCCCAACTATTATACTCAAAAGCAAGCATGCTAAACGCCTTCTTAACCACCCCATCTGCCTGTGACTTAAATTTCAAAGAATCATGTACTTGAAGCCCTAAGTCTCTCTGTTCTGGCACTACCAAAGGCCCTACCATTAATTGCATAAGTCCTGTCCTTGTTTGTATTACCGAAATGTAATACCTTGCATTTATCCAAATAAAACTCCATCTGCCACTCCTCAGCCCATTGACCCAATTGATCAAGGTCTCTTTGTAATCTTAGGTAGCCTTCTTCTCTGTCCACTATACCACCAATTTTGGTTTCATCTGCCCATTCCACGAATTATACTGGTTTCATGGTTCCTTCACTTTCTAGTCTTCTGAGTTCTGCTACTACTTTTGCCCAAAAGGCAAATGGCATTGGACAGGTCTCACAGAATTGTGGAATTGCTTCCTGGTCAACATGCAAAGTTGCTTTTGCTCCTCTGCTAGTCCCGAGACCTTCCTGGAAAATCTCTGGGTAATTAATTAGGACTTCACTCAGGCAGCCATTTTTAAATTGAGAAATGTTGAGCCAATCAAGGTGAATTTCTCGCAACCAATTTTGCCCCATCAAGCTTGGGGCCCTGAGCCTTTTACTACAATCACAGGTAACCAAACCAGCTGCTTTTCATAAGAGACCGGAACAGAGGTCGTACCCTTAATCTACAAAAATTCCCCATTTTAGGTTCTCAGCCTTGATGAAGTTTTGTGCAAATTGAAAGGGTGGAATCCAAAGAGAATTTTATTAAAAACTGGTTCTGCAGTCACTGATAAAGCTGTACCGGTGTCAACCTTTATTAGAACTACATGATCATTTAACCAGATGCTTATCTTGATTGGCTCTGATTTGGATGTTGCTAAGCAATTTAACTGTTTCAAACCAGATTCAGGTGGAGCTTCCAGGGTATAAACTCTCCCTGATACCAATCTATGAGTTATCATACTCCATTTAAGTCTGTGGGACCCTGTTGCTATCCCGAATCGCATATCGACAACAATTACAATGTCTTACCAGGCCGGATCCTGAAGGAAATTGTACCTGTTTGGTCGAGACTTAGCTTTGTTTTGGAGTTTTGCTGTGAGCCGACCTAGAGTTACTCTTCTTAGGACATTTCCTGAGTAAGTTTTCCTGCACGCAAGTGGTGTTCCCCAAGGTCAGGCAGACTAGTGAAAGTGTTCACTTCAATCATAATACCTTGCAACTCAGGCACTCCATTTATCATGTTTTCCAATGAAAAACCCAGTGGGAGCACCTGTTTGATGCCCAATTGAACTTCAGTAGGCATTTTTGCATAGTCACATCATTAATCCCGCATACTGGATGGTCTCTAAAATCTTATTAAGGATTAACCCAAAGTCATATGCTTCTGCCAGTCATCTTAACCTAGTCATGAACCCTGACACAGATTCCCCTGGTCTCAAATTGCCGAGTAAAAGAAATAGCATCTCAGGATTAAAGGATGCTTAGGGTCACAATATTCCTTAACTATGTCAATCAGTTCTTGTAAGGTTTAGTATCTAGTGCCTCAAGAATAGTTAAGCTCCTAATGACAGAAAAAGCTGCAGCTCCACAGGCTGTCAGGAGAATTACTCATTGCTTTTCATCTGCCACAATGTCATTCACTTGGAAAAAATAACATATTCTCTCCATATACAGGGTCCAGTCCTCAATGACAGGGTCAAATGAGTCAAGCTTCCAAAACAGAGGGCATGACATAAGAAAATGCTTATCCCTAACTTCAAAACAACTGCTGCAAGCAAGTTTCTTCAGGATCATACTTTACCCCTGTCATCACCGAAATAAGTCCTCATAGGCTAGCATCCCATCACCAATCACTTTTTATTTAAAAATGCTTGGTCTCCCAAAATCCGGGGGGCGGGGGGTTGGGGGGGGGGGGGGGGGGGGGGGGGGTGGGGTACACATGCTCAATATCCCTGGCATTCATCATTTTATGTCAGCTACATATCCCTGATTAGTACCAGATTAACAGCTCCAATCATGGAACTCATAATCTATGAAGTCCAGCCAGCTGACTCATTACAATCACTGCAACGCCCTTATGTTTTTGCTTTCTACTTAATTTCAATTCCCATTTGGTCTTTTTTTGTCTGTCACTATCCCCCCCTTTTCTTCTGTTTTTGCTCTCTCTTCCTTATTTCAGCTTATCTCACTATCTCTGTTTCTTTCCCACTCCTAGTCACTTTTGTTTTTGTCTTTGTCTCCTGTTTTCCGTACATATGTTTGTTAGAAAAGGTGAGCAAAGCCCAACAAACCAATTAATACTCAATTATACTATACCGTCACATGTTTCATACATTTCAGTCATTAGTTTGGCCATTCACCAGTGTCCCTCAAATGTTAGGCAGTCTACAAATATAGCATCTGTCAGTTTGAGAACTGCTGTTCTAGCTCCACAGAACTATTCTTCTGACTCCATTTTTTGTTTACCCAGTCATTAGAAGTTCCTCTATGCAATATTTTAATACATTTACATGAATACTTTCATCAGTTTCCTTCTGGATGGAATGAAATTTGCTCAATTTTGTATATCTGTGTTGTCACACTACAGCGTTAATTGCTCTATCAAATAATACAATGATAATGGGAACCTTCTCGCACTGCAGATATTTACCAAAGATCCTCAGACAACACTTTCCACACCTACCTGGAAGGACAAGGGCATCAGGTACATGGGAATAACATCACCTGCAAGTTCCTCTTCAAGCCACTCATCATCCTGACTTGGAAAGGTACTACCATTCCTTCACAGTTGCTGGGTCAAAACCATGGAATTCCCTCCCTAATAGCTTATAGCGCTTGTAGTGAAATGACCAAACCAGTATTATTGTAATCATTACTATGACTACATTGTCTCAAGCAATTTGTAATTGTTATGATGGATTTAACAAGACGTCTGCTTCAGCTAATTTATGGATCATTCACCTCCGTGGGATGTGGGTTTATAAATCCATTCCAGAGACTTGAACACGTCATACACTGACATTCACACCGGTGTTGAGAAGGTGCTGTTTTTCAGATGAGACATTAAACCAAGGTCCATCTATCTCTGCAGGTGTATGTAAAAGGTCCCTTGGCATTATTCAAAGAAAAATATGGGAGCTCTATCTGGTATCTTAATCAACATTTGTATCTGATTAACATCACTTAAACAGATTATCTGGTTAATCATTTCGTTTACATTTGTGAAATTTTACTGTTTCCAAATTTGCTAATACATTTTCTTAGATTTAGATGTTTTAAAGGTAATTAATTGTGAAACATTTTATCATGTCCTCAGGTAATGAATGGTACTTCTAAATGCAACTTCCTTCTTTCCTCCTTTCAAATTTACTTCACAGAAATTGTACTACAACTGCCACTTCGAATTTAAATTTCCAAACTCACCAGCAAACATCATTCCTGCAGGCTCGTTGGAGAATGTTCAATGTTTGCAAAGAACAGCTGTGATGTCTCCCCTTGTCTATGCAATCCTTTGCAAGCTGAAGCGAAAAAGTTATGGATTCTTAAATAGTAATCTTCTATTTACAGAGTTAAACCATGCAATTTTACAACTCTAAAATAGGAAATGCACTGCATATAGCAGATCTGATTTAAGCAACGAGACGTAGGAGTAGAAGCAGGCCATTCAGACCATAGAGTCATTCATGCCTGATCTGATAATCCTCAACTCTATTTTCCTGCCTTATCCCCATGACCATTGATTCTCTAAATGATTAAAAAAACCTGTCTAGCTCAGCAATGAATATGCTTAACAACTCAAGCCTTGACAACCCTCTGCAGTAAAGAATGACATCGATTCCATACAGGCTGACAGGAAAAAAAAGTCTTCATCTCTGTCTTAAATAGATGACGCTATGAAGTGAGATTATGCCCTCTGGTCCTAAACTCTCGCACAAGGGGAAACAACCTCTCCATATTTACCCTGTCAAGTTTCCTAAGAATCTTGTAAGTTTCACTGTTCATTTTCAATTCTTCATTATTCTAAATTCCAATGAGTACAAGCCTATTCATCCTCTCCTCATCACAAAATCCCTCAAACCTAAGATCAACTTATGAACTTTCTGTGGACTGCCTTCAATGCCAGTATCCTTCCTAGGTAACGGGACCAACTCTATTCAGTCTTCTAGTTATAGTCTGACCAATGCCTTGTGTATTTTTGTCAAAATCTCCCTATTTTTGAAATAAAGACCAACATCCCATTTGCCTTCCCTATTACCCACTGAACTTAGATGCTAGCTTTTTCTGATTCATCCTGTAGAACCTCCAAATATTACTATGCTGCAGCTTTCTGGAGTCCTTCCTCATTTAAATAATATTCAGCACTTCTATATTTCTTGTCAAAATGCATACTTTACATTTGCCTTCATCTGTCAAGATTTTTCGCACTTAATTAACCGTCTATATCCCTCCAAAGAGCCTTTGCTTGGTTCTTGCCATAACTTTTTTTCCCACCTACTTTTGTGTCATCCTCTACTGTGAAAACATATGCAAAGTATTTACTTAACTCCTCTGCTATTTCTTAGCTCACCATTAATATTTCATGCCTTATCCTCAAAGGGCCCAATGTTCACTGATGCCTCTGTCTTCCTTTTTATATATTTTAAAAAGCTCTTACTGTCTGTTGTTATATTACTTTGTTAGTTTGCAACCTCTAATCTCTGCAACATTGCATGCTTCTTCTTTAAAATGATTCTTAACTTCTGTGGTTAACCATGATACATCATTAGGATATATCTTCTGCTGTGAGTTGTAAATTATTTTTTAAAATGTCTGCCATCGTTCATCAACCTTCTTTCTTACTAGTCTCCTTTCCCAGTCCACTCCAGCCAATTCGACACTCATTCCTTTGTGATTACCATTATTTAAGTTGATGTGCAGTTGTTTTGAACAAAGATTTTTATTCACACACTGAATTATTAATTCTACTATTTAAAAAATGACAAAGAACTGCGGATGCTGGAAATCAGAAACTATACCAGAAATAGCTGGAAAAACTCAGCAGGGCTGGCATCATCTGTGGAGAGAAAGCAGAGATAATGTTGGGTCCAGTGACTCTTCTTCAGAACTGATTGTAGCTAGGAAAACATTGTTATATTTGCTACAGAAGTGGTGGTGGTGGGGGGGTTGGGGGGGAAGGCGGAGGGAAAGGAGTAAGTGATAGGTGGAGATGGATCCCAAAGAGAGAAAAGAAGTTAGCCTGGGAGAATCAATAGATGATAATAGGGACCATTAGTGGCCGGCACAGGGTTGTTTGTGGTAGCAGCCCATGTGATGACAAGGCCTGGCATGTGGCGTTTGGAGTAAGGAAATGGGAGAATGTGCTCAGTCCCTAAAATAATTGAACTTGATGTTGAGTCTAGAAGGTCGCAACCAGAAAATAAGGTGTAGTTCTCCCAGCTTACACTGGGCTTCACTGGAGCACTGTAGCAAGCCCAAGACAGAGATAACAAGGTGTAGAGCTGGATGAACACAGCAGGCCAAGCAGCATCAGAGGAGCAGGAACGCTGACGTTTTGGGCCTAGACCCTTCTTCTGAATGAGAGGGGGAAAGTTCAAAGGAGATGTGAGGGGCAAGTTTGTTGCATAGAGAGTGGTAGGAGTCTGGAACGCAATGCCAGTGGTGGTGGTGAGGGCAGATACAATAGGGGTGTTTAAGGGACTTTTAGATAAACACGTGAATGTGCAAGGAGTGGAGGGATATGGACCAAGGGCAGGCAGAAGGCATTAGTTTAATTTGGCATCATGTTTGGCACAACATCGTGGGCTGAAGGACCCATTTCTGTACTGTACAGCTCTATGTTCTACATAACTGAATCAAAGACCCTCTCCCACTACGGTTATACTCTTTTCTACTTTCTTCCATTAGGCAGAAGAAACAAAAGTTTGAAAACATGTACCAACAGATTCAAGAACAGCTTCTTTCCGCTGTTATCAGACTTATGAACAGACCTCTCATATATTAGACTTGATCTTTCTCTGCACTTTCTATGTAGCTGTAACACTATATTTCTTATTCTGTACTTTTACCTTGATGTACTTATATAAGGTACGATTTATCTGGATAGCATGCAAAACAACATTTTTCACTGTATCTGGGTACAGGTGGCAATAAATAAATCAAATCAAATCAAAGGTCTAACGTTTCTGTGAAGAGTCAGTGAAAAGTACAGTTAACATTTTGAGTCCGATGACTCTTCCTCTGAAGAAGAGTCTTCTGAAGATGCTGAGACCTGCTGAGTTTCTCCAGCAATTTCTGTTTTGTTTTCAGATCTTTCAACATCCGCAGTTCTTTGCTTCATTTTATGATCAATACCCTGGTTGATGAAGGCAAGCATGTCTTATGCCTTCTTTAGCTGCTTATGCATTCATGTTACAACTGTCAGGGAGTTACAGACTTGCATCCCAAGATCCTTCTGTATATCAATGCTCCCAACTGGTTATTGGGAATCCTATAGTGTAACCCCATCAAAGTGATTGCATCTTTCTTATTCCTGAATTCTACCCATAAGGCCTCACTGGATGAGACCTCCAAATGTCCTCTCTAAGTGCAGCTGGGAAATTCTCCTTAATCGGTAATACAACTCCCCCATCCCTTTTACATCCATCTCTATCATGCCTGAAACATCTAAACACGGGGACTTTAAGCTGCCAGTCCTGCCTTCACTCAACCAAGTTTCTGTAATAGCAGTAATGTTATAATTCCATGTGCTAATCCAAACTCTAAACTCATAAACTCATATTATATTCCTCACATTACAATAAATACACCTCAAACCGCTAGTCCCACCATGTTTATTAATCTGGCCGTAAAGTTCTTCCCATTCTATTTACTTCAGTTAACCTCTACCTTCTCCTCAATCACTCCATGTGCTGAGCTACTGCTCTGGTTCCCACCCCCCACCCACCACCACCACAATAGTCTAAACCCTCTCAAGTGCCTCGAGCAAACCTCCCTGCAAGGATATTGGTACCCCTTCAGTTTTGGTTCAACCCATCCTTCTTGTACAGGTCCCTCTTGCCCTGGAAGAGATCCCAATGATCCAGATATCTGAAGCCCTCCCTCATTTATAGGCTCTTTCAATTGTATTATTTTCCTGTTTCTGGCCTCACTAGCCTATGGCACAGGTAGTACTCCTTAGATTACAACCCTTAAGGTCCTGCTTTTCAACTTTCTACCTAACTCTCTAAATTCTCTTTGCCACTTTCTCTCTTCTCCACTTTCAGAATGCCCTGTGCCTGCTCACTATCCTTCACTATGGCACCAGGAAGACAACACACCGTCCTCGAGTCTTGCTTGTGGTCACAAAAACACCTATCTGTGCCTGATTATAGGGTTGCCTATCACTACCTCTTGCCTACACTTCAACCTTCCCTATTCTATACCAGAGCAAATCATGGTGCCACTGATCTGGCTGCTTGTGTTGCTTTCTGCTTAGAGGCCACCACCTCCAACAGTACCCAAAATGGTATGCATGTTTCAGAGGGGAAAAGCCACAGTGGACTTCTGCACTGCCTGCCTTCCCCTCCTGGCAGTCACTCGTGATCTGTCATGATTCCTCATGATTGGCGATGTTTCCTATTTTGGTGTAGGAGTAATTTTCCACTGGTTTTAAATAGTTGATTTTCAATGGAAAGTTCCTAGTTATCGTCAAAGTTTAAGATTATACTTATGATACTGCCAGCTAAATAATGTGTGTACATGTACAATAATTAAAAGGATCAACTAATACATGACAGAGATAGTAAGAACTGCCAATGCTGGAGTCAGAGATAACACAGTGTGGAGCTGGAGGAACACAGCAGGTCAGGCAGCATCAGAGGAGCAGGAAAGTTGACGTTTTGGGTTGGGACCCTTCTTCAGAAATGGGGGACGGGGAAGGGAGCTCCGAAATAAACAGAGAGAGGAGGGCTGGGGCTGGGGAATGTAGGTGGGATGATGATATCCTATCACCTCCTCTCTATTTATTTAGGAGCTCCCTTCCCCCTCCCTCATTTCTGAAGAAGGGTCCCGACCCAAAACGTCAACTTTCCTGCTCCTCTGATGCTGCCTGGCCTGCTGTGTTCCTCCAGCTCCATACTGTGTTATCTCTATTTATAACTGAGACATGACATTTTCTTACCTGACAATTCTGATAATCCTCTGCAGGTGTGGTACTGCAGGGCATCCCAATGTCTTTTAACTCCCACATTGCTGCAACTGTATGGCCTATAACTTCTATAAATATGAAAAAATGCAAAGGAATAATTTTAATAGTCGCATTAAAGAGAATGTCATTTTGAAGTTTCACATGCTTCATCAAACACCACTGATTAAAAATACAGTTTAAAGTGGGGGTAAGTATTTAATATGAAGTCACCATAGTCTTAGTAAACCATAGGACTGCTCTCTTATTAGAGAGAGATGATCGGTGGTAGCTTCACCTGAGGGTCACAATGACTCAGGCAAAGGGAGACGTTGAGAAGGAGCATCCTTCACAGTAACCTCAGCTGATACAGGATTTGAACTCACACTGTCAGCTTTAGTGCATTACAAACCAGCCATCCAGCCAAACTTCTACCTGTAAGTGTTGCACAATCACTTCAGCAGTTATCTGCTTAATGAGGGAGGTGATCAATGGAATTGTACACCACTTATTTATCATAGCAACCTGTTGAGGGTTTGCATCGGCTGATAGAAACAGCTTTTCCTTGTTAGAATTTATCGTTTTGACAGTTATTCAGTTTTAGATTCTGAATCTATGTCATCAACTGATGGTCCTGATTAGGCACTAATTTGCACTAAAATGCCAAAGTCATTCAAAGAAGATGCAGGGCTGTTGTATTAGGAAATGGGGTATCATTACAGTCCACTGGCAATTTGTGTCAGTATCACCTCTGAATAAGCATTATGAATTTGTGTCGTAGTGCTTTTTCCATCGAACTATAACATATAGGAGTAGAATTACGCCATTCAACCCAGCAAGTGTGCTTTGCCATTCAATCATGGCTGAACTATGTTTAAACCCTATTCTCATGCCTTCTCCCTGTAACCTTTGATCAATTCACTAATCAGGGACCTATCTACCTCTGTCTTAAATACGCTCAATGTCTCGGCTTCCACAGTATTCTGCAATAATGAGTTCCACTGAGTCATCATCTTTTGGCTGAAGTAATCCTTCTGAATCTCAGTTCTTAGGTCCTAAGAGTGGAAAGATTTTCTCCACGTCCACTCTATCCGGGCTTCGTAGTATTCTGTAAGTTTCAATGAGATCACCTCCTCATTCTCCTGAACGCCATTGAGTACAGACCAAGAGTCGTCAGACACTCTTTCAATGACAAACCCTTCATTCCCAGACTCATTCTTGTAAACCCCCTCCGGACCCCCTTCAAGACCAGCACATCCTTCCTTGGGGCCCAAAACTGCTCACAACATTCCAAATGCAGTCTGACCAGAGCATTATACAGCCTTAGCAGTACATCCCTACTCTTGCCTTTCTAACCGCCAACTGAATAACCATGTTGACATGAAGACAACCCTGAACTAGGATTCTTAAGTCGCTTTGTGCTTCAGATTCTGAAGCCTTTTCCCCGTAAAAGTTGTCTATGCCTCTATTCTTCCTACCAAGGTGTATAAACTCATATTTTCCCACATTGTATTCCATCTGCCACTTCTTTGCCCAATTTCCTAGCCTGCCCAAATCCTTCTACAGCCTTCCTGCTTCCTGATCACTGCCTATCCCTTCAACTATCTATGTGTCATCTGCAAATTTAGCAACAATCCCCTCAGTTACTTCATCCAGATCATTAATAGAACATAGAACAGTATAGCACAGTACGGGGCCTTCGGCCCACGATGTTGTGCCGAAATTTTACCCTAAACCCAAGGTCTATCTAACCTCCAGCCCTACCTTATACTATCATCCATATGCCTATCTAAAAGCTGCTTAAATGCCCCTAATGAGGCTGACTCCACTACCCTCTCCAGCAATGCATTCCACGCCCCGACCACTCTCTGAATAAAGAACCTACCTCTAACGTCTCCCCTATATCTACCTCCACTCACTTTAAAACAATGTCCCCTCGTAATAACTACCTCCACCCTAGGAAAAAGTCTCTGGTTGTCCACTCTATCTTTCCCTCTGATCATTTTGTACACCTCTATCAAGTCATCTCTCATCCTTTGTCGTTCTAAAGAGAAAAGCCCTAGCTCTCTCAACCTTTCCTCATAAGACCTCCCATCCATTCCAGGCAACATCCTGGTAAATCTCCTCTGCACCTTTTCCAACGCCTCCACATCTTTCCTGTAATGAGGCGACCAGAACTGGACACAATACTCCAGATGTGGCCAAACCAGGCTTTTGTATAGCTGGAGCATAACTTCACGTCTCTTGAACTCAGTCCCTCTATTAATGAAAGCTAATACACTATACACCTTCTTAACAACTCTATCCACCTGGGTGGCAGCTCTCAGGGAACCCCAAGATCCCTCTGCTCCTCCACACTGCCAAGAATCTTTCCGTTAACCCTGTGTTCTGTTTTCAAGTTTATCCTTCCAAATTGAATCACCTCACACTTTTCAGGGTTAAACTCCATCTGCCACTTCTCAGCCCAGCTCTGCATCCTATCAATGTCCCTTTGTAACCTAGAACAGCCCTCCACACTACCCACAACTCGACCCACCTTCGTAGAGCATGAATAGCTGTTGTCTCAACACTGACCCCTGTGGAATTTGACTTGTCACTGCCATCCTGAAAAAGACCCCTTGATCCCCACTCTCTGCCATCTGCCAGTCAACCAATCTTCTATTCATAAATAAAAACCAAAAGAACTGTGGATGCTGCAAATCAGAAACAAAAACAGAAATTGCTAGAAAAGCTCAGCAGGTCTGGCAGCCTCAGAACTGGAGGAAGAGTCACTGAACCCAAAACATGAACTCTGATTTCTCTCCACAGAGGCTGTTAGGCCTGCTGAGCTTTTCCAGCAATTTCTGTTTCTGTTTCTATCTACAGATATCAGTACTTTGCACTAACACCATGGGTTCTCATGTTATTTAGCAGCCTGTCAAAGCCTGTGTGGCAGCTTGTAAAAGGCCTTCTGGAAATCCAAAAAGATCATGTCCACTGGCTCTCCTTTATCTAACTTACTCATTACCTCTTCAAAGAATTCTAACAGATTTGTCAAGTATGACCTTCTCTTGATGAAGCCGTGCTGACTCAGCCCTATTTTACCGTGCACAACCAAGCATTTTACAATCTCATTCTTAATAACGGATACTAACTTTCTCCATAATCTGTTTCTGTAATAATAGTCACTTAATTTCCTCTTGAATGTTTCCATTGAACCTGCTGCCACCACACTTCTAGGCAGTGCATTGCAGACCCTAACTACTCAATGTGTGAAAAAGTTTTTTTCTCACATTGTATTTGTTTCTTTTACAAATTACTTTAAAGTTGTGGCCTTTCCTTCATGATCTATTTACAAGAGGGAACGATGTCTTTCTATTTACCCTGTCAGGTCATTAATTACTTTGAAAATTTCAACCAAATCTCCACTTATCCTTCTCCAAGGAAAACAATCTCAAATTGTCTACTCTATCCTGATTATTAAAACTTCTGATGGAGACAATTGTTTTATACTCCTTATGCACTATCATAGAATTCCTACAGTGTGGAAACAGGCCCTTTGACCCACCAAGTCCACACTGACCCTTGGAATATCCCACCCAGAACCATCCCCCTATAATCCACTTAATCTACACACCTCTGAACACTATGGGCAATTTAGTATGGCCAATCCACCCAACCTGCACATCTTTAGACTGTGGGAGGAAACCAGAGCACCTGGAGGAAACCCATGCAGACACAGGAAGAATGTGCAAACTCCACACAGACGGTCACCCAAGGGCGGAATTGAACCCGGGTCCCTGGCGCTGTGAGGCAGCAGTACTAGCCACTGAGCCACTGTGCCACCCATAGCCTACTGTCTATGGTTTCACATCTTCCTTCAGTGAGGCACCCAGTACTGTGCACAATACTCCAGCTGAGGTCTAACCAATATCTCATACAGGTTCAGAAGATCCATTGGAACACTGCCACCTGCAGGATTACCTCCAAGCCTCAGACCATCCTGACCTGGAACTCTGAAGAAAGGTTCCAACCTGAAAAGTTGACTTTTCTAATCCTTGGATGCTGTCTGATCTGCTGTATTCTTCCAGCTCCACAATTTTTGACTGGAACTGTATCTTCACTGGCATTGAGCCAAAATGCTGGAACACCTTTCTAGCAGCACTGTGGGTGTACTTGTCCTCTACAAGCAGCAGTCACCCAAGAAGGTGCTCACCAACACCTTCCCCATGGCAATTAGGGGAAGGTAATAATTCTAGCCTTACCAGTGTACAGAGTGTTTAGAAACACATCATATAATCAGACACAATCAGCATAGCTTCATAAAGGGGAAATCATGCCTAACAAAATTATTAGAATGCTTGGAGAAGATCATAAGCAGGATAGATAAAGAACAAGCAGTGAATGTAATATATTTAGAGGTTCAGCAGGTATTTGATAAGGTACCACATGTTAGACTACTTAATAAAATAAGAGCCTTAAGAGGCATATTTTGTGTTTTCTTTCAGAGAAGATTTGAGCCATAGGTGACATGCTGTCTCTGTTCCAAGCTGTCTCTTTCAAGCCAATAAAATTGGGAGGCCTTGGTTTTTTTTTAAGTTAGAACAATAGATGCAGCATAAATTCATGGAGTCAGGCTCCTACAGAACCAAAGAACAAAGAACAATATAGCACTGGAACGGGTACTTTGCCCTTCAAGCCTGTGCTAACACATTTTGCCCTCCAATATTAAAACTACCTTCACTTATAGGCTCCATATCCCTCTATTCCATTCCTATTCATGTATTCATCCAGGTGCTTGTTCAATGCTTCTATTGTGTCTACTTCCACCACCTCCTCTGGCAACATGTTCCAGGCACTCACTACACTTTGTGTGCAAAACTTGCCTCGCACATCTCTTTTAAACTTCCTCCCCAGCACCTTGAACCTGTGTCCCCTAACAATTGACCCTCCACCCTGGGAAAATGTCTCATACTTTCCACTCTATCCATGCCATTCACAATCTTATAAACTTCTATCAGGTCACCCCTCAACCTCCTGCATTCCGGTGAAAACAAACCCAGTCCAGCCAAACTTGCTTCATAGCTAAAATCCCCCATACCAGGCAAAATCC